AACCTTAATTACTTATTATTTTTATATTAATAATGAAACTAACGATGTTAATATTAATTGTAGTAAATATGTGTTGAAAGTGTTATTGACTCGTGTGTGCTCGTTCTAACATGTGTATATATTACAGATCGTCCGTTTTTTTAAAAAAGTTTTTCTATATCCAGTTTAAGATGAATTAAGAGTATCGTTATTCTTACATGTAGTTTGAGGTGAGCCTGTATGATTTTTTCTGTAATAATTAAAACGACGAGAATGTTTTATTTTCAATACAACGGAATTAAAATTAAATTGTTGCAACAGAAATTGTCTAAAACACTGTATATTTCGAAGAATGATAATCAAAAAAAAAAAAAAATTAAAAGGATTTGGCTGTTTCACGAAAGTAAAAGCGTTGTATAAAATATTCAATATTCAATGATGAATGATGAATGCCGAATAGTCAAGTGCTCGTTTTTTTTAAAACGTATTTTTGGGGAAGGTTAAATTTCAAGGTGTTTATTATCGGAAATGTTTTCTGAATGTCTGGATTTTGATTCATGAGAATGATCGTCGCCTTTAAAAAAAAGTTTTAAATCCAACTGGAGTTGACTATGTAACTATTTCTATTGCCCGTTAGGTTGGATGATCTGCCTTTTGTTCAAACTAAATAAAACCAGGTCTCGAAATTATTCGGACCTTCCTTATGTGCAACGTTATATACTTAATTTGGTATGAATTTAAATTAATTTCCTTATTTCCTTCCAAAGGTAAGTTTATCATTAATAATAATATATTTTATTACTTAAAAAAATATACGCTATCAATGTATATTTTTTCAACAAAATAAACATTTAAATAACTAATTGTTAAATAATAATACTTTTCTTTTTATTAAGAAATTTTTTTTAGATAAATTGGAAAAGCTATATTCACACAACACACACATCATACATATATACGTTATACATTATACATGTATTTTTTTATTTAAAGATATTTATCTGGTAAATAAAATCATATAAAAAAAACCAAATATAAATAAAGAAAAGATTAAGATAAAACAAGTGGTTGATTAATTTATGTAGAAATGAAAACAGTATCAACGTTGATGTCAATTTATTTACTTCATTTCATATTAAGAGCAACACTTATACCCAATTTAATTACAATTGTAATTTTGGAATAAATGCACAAGAATCCTGATAATGCTACTACTACACCCACAACACCTGTAAATACACAACCACCACCCAAAGTAACTTAATCTGTACCTCCTACTATAACACCAGAAGATACTACAACATTAGATGATCCAGTTCTAATAACTCCAAAAATTTCAAACACATACCACATCAAAAAGTCAGCTAGTGATTCAAACTTCACAAGAAAATCAATAACCTACAGTAACACAAAAATTCACAATATTTAGTATAAGTAACTCAATAATCTTCAACAGCATCACTGTCATTATCCAGCAAATCACTAATAACTATAACTGCCACATTGAATCAACGTTACCCCTGATTTATTTTTTTTATTTTTAAAAAAATTTCCCCTTGTTGATCATCTCAATAACATTCCTTCTGCAATAGCTAAACTCAGTAGGATAACTATAAAAGAAAATGAACAATTAAATGTAAAATATACTGTATGTTTGCTATTTTTAATTTAACATGTGTTTTTTTATTATAATTAGCACAACAAATTATAATTAATAAATTTTTGTTGAATGGTAAATAAAAAAAAACCTTGGAATTTAATCAACACCCCAAGTAATAATCATATGAAATCTAGGGTCTTCTGAAGCAATAATTCATGACGCGGGGCATAATAATAATTCGTGATTCAAAGCATAATTCGTGACACAAGACATATAGTTTGTGACGCGAAGCATAGTTTGTTAGTTCTTATTATAATAATAAAGGAGACCCTAATTGTAATCAGCAAGAATTATGTATTTTATCCTATAGTAATAATCATCAAGTATAATTAGTATAATTTGATGAAAAATTATGTAAAATTTTTATTAGAAGAATATTATAAATTATTATTGTTACCTAAATCTATTTAAACATAATGTTCAACTTATTGCATTGCATATTCCTCTACCATCTATTATTTTTATTTCCTTCTACATCTCCTCTACCTTCTGATCATGTACATATACAATATGTAAGAAAATAGTTTTATTATTCTCATAAATAATATTTAATGACACATTCTTCTGACCCCAAACATTCATTTAAAATTTTCTTTGCTACTTCTTTAAAAACACATATATATCACCTATCAACACTTGTTAAATATTTGAACAAATACAGCTTCATGATAAACTAGAATAAATTTCATCCATCCTCTTCATCCTCTTCTATTTTTTGTAATAGTAACACTCCAAAAACCAGATATAATTTCATAATGTTGACAGATTGCATTTATTTATAATTTGATCCTAATTTAAAATAAAAAATAAAACTATTAGATTAAGAAACTAGAAGTTGTCAGTTATGTTTAAAATACTTAGACTTGAATTTGGTTCATTTTTATAAATATGTATATATATATATATATATTTATGTTTATAGATCAGTTATTTGACTATTTCTATAGTATTTTTGTCCCACCATAGACGGTGGGAAGATTTGGTGGACAATATAAAGAGTGTATAACAAAAATAAAAAAAAAAATTTTCAAAGAAAAATAAGTTATTATGAAATACAAAGTATTTTTAAGAATATCATCAGTAAAAAAAAATTTATTTTACTAAAAAAAATGATATGTTTACTATATAGTGAATTAATCTACTTTTTGCATTGTACTATGTTAAAATAAATGGATCAGCACTAATGATGATTAATGACCATCTTTCTATATTTATATTTATTAACTTATTTAGCGATGTAAATATTTACTTTGAATTATTAATCATAATTTTGTAATACTCAGTTGACCTAATATTTATTTAGCATTAATAAGCATATTTTATTGGACAAAATATTGTAAAGGTCATGTTAATTGTAATACCTCAAGAGGTATAAAAAGACTTGGTTTTAGACCAAGTGAGAAAATCATCATGTTAATAACATTCATAATAATCTATAACAATTGAATAAATACCCACCCCCCTGTTGTTAATAATTAAATAAACATATTCTACCTTATTACAAATTTTGCATAGTTAACAGGAAAAGCCATTGTGAATTGTTCCATGATCCTCTCTGATGATTAGTGGTCTGGCCACTAATCATTAGTTAGGAACCCCCATTTTATTGTTCTGTGTTGCTTGTAGGGACACCTCAAGTAGTATAGTTGTAAATATTTCTTGTATATATTCTTAATATTTATTTCATCTTATATACAGTTACTGGAAAAAAGTATCGCTTCACCTGATGATCGGTGAAAATAATTGAATAACTCCGGTGATATAAAAAGTCATTATTTTACTAATCAAGTCGATGTTGTGTAATAACAA